GAGAAGGTTTAGTGGTGTAACTCAATCGAACATGATGCAAAGATTTTGGAAGGTTCTGTAACACTATGTGGATCTTTTGAATTCTCAACATCCTGTCAGAAAATCTAAGTTTGGCACATGCGCAGTAATAGGATAGTGTTTGTTTAAGCTTCCGGCCCTCCCCTTCGTATAAGCGACCACCTTTAAATTTAACACCCTGCCTTACTAAATACATGGTATACTGGACTTTTATCTTTCAAAAGGGTAGCATAAAAGTTACAGTCACAAGAGAATAACTTATTTGGGGACATCACAGGATCAGATGTTAATGACTCAGCTCCTCTGAATAATTATAGTGCTTGAGGATAGTTTTAATGGTAAGTTCCAAGCTAAGGACACAAACATAACACACTTGGGTGTTTATTGAAAATTATGTTGTAGTTTCATTGCTTAGTTTTTTTGTCTGTGTGGAAGAAAGACAAATGCTATCTCGAGGCTGAAATACTAAAAAATGAAATAAGCGACCCCTTTCAAATAAGTGTTTCCCCCTCAAATAAGCATAAATACGACAAATAGGCATCCCCATTGCCTGCCACTGAAAATCAATTAACCACCCCCTCCTGGAATTATTTCCAGATCTGCAGAAATCAAATCATTTGACACCTTGTGATGTAATATAATTATTATATTACATGTACCTGATCACAAACATGTTCACGTACCCATAATACACATCTCATACGTAGCCACAATTGGGAATCAGTGTTTCTTAAGGCCTGTATTCCAAACAGTCTGAGCAGTACACAATATTGACATAAGTTGTTTTCCTTGTATCATGGTCAGTGATTTTTTTGTTGTTTCTTGTATGTAGTACACTACTCAAAGTATGTGAAAATCTTGTAGTGACACCATGAAACTATACACATATTGCAGATTAGAAATTGCACGCGATGAATTCTGTTCCAAAATGTAGATGTGTTGGGATCTCAATCTTCTAGGAAGGGACCCACTGTTGTTTGATTCAATATTATAAGTGACCACCTCCCTAAGATGACCTGACTCAATCTTTGCATTCTTGGTGGTCATCAACAATATTTTAGACTGAATGGAAATGAGAAAGAGGAGATCGACACTTAATGGAAGAAAATGTTAGCTACTTAAAAGCAGAAAAGAAACCCTTGAGCTTTATACAGCAAGGAAAGGGGAAAGTTTACTGTCATTTTCGATTCTTTTAAGGCGCATGCAAGCAGATGGATCACTGCCTAACTAATGACATTATCAACAGAATTTCCCGCAGCATTACTATGTTTTAGATACCCTAGTCTACTAATAAAAGATTTTTTGAATGCACTAACAGCATCTGTTCTAGATTTCTCTTATTTTAATTCTGTAAAATTCACCTATATTGATGATATGAATTTGATTTTTCTATACCAGGTCACTATTAATTTGTTATTTCTAGATGTCAAGAAGAACTGTTGAGACTTTTTATTAACAATTTGAAACATGGAGCATTATTCCAATACAAAATTGAGAGCTTACTTAAAATATGAAGATTGATTAGCAGTTTTGGATCTAAAAGAGAAAGGACTATCCAGGGTACCTGATGCAGTCACTGAACTGAGTGAAATAGAGAATCTTGTGCTGGAAAAAAATAACTTGATTAAATTACCAGCAAGTATCAGCAAGCTGAAAAATCTTATTGTGCTCCAATTGGATAGCAACAATATCACTGAACTACCTACTGAGATTGGTGATGTCAGGGAGCTGAGGGGGCTGAGTGTGATTAACAACCAGTTGGTTGGTTTACCTACCAGTATACAGAGGCTGACCAAGCTTGAAAGGCTGGACTTGGATGGAAATAAACTAACTGAACTACCTGCTGAGATTGGTGTCCTCAGGGAGCTGAGGGGGCTATGGGTGAGAAACAACCAGTTGGTTGGTTTACCTACCAGTATACAGAGGCTGACCAAGCTTGAAAGGCTGGACTTGGATGGAAATAAACTAACTGAACTACCCACTGAGATTGGTGACCTCAGGGAGCTGAGGGGGCTGTGGGTGAATAACAACCAGTTGGTTGGTTTACCTACCAGTATACAGAGGCTGACCAAGCTTGAAAGGCTGCACTTGAGTGGAAATAAACTAACTGAACTACCTGCTGAGATTGGTGACCTAAGGGAGCTGAGGAGGCTGTGGGTGAGGAACAACCAGTTGGTTGGTTTACCTACCAGTATACAGAGGCTGACCAAGCTTGAAAGCCTGGAGTTGAGTGGAAATAACCTAACTGAACTACCTGCTGAGATTTGTGACCTAAGGGAGCTGTGGGGGCTGTGGGTGAGTAACAACCAGTTGGTTAGTTTACCTACCAGTATACTGAGGCTGACCAAGCTTGAATGGCTGTACCTGGATGGAAATAAACTAACTGAACTACCCGCTGAGATTGGTGACCTAAGGGAGCTGAGGGGGCTGTGGGTGAATAACAACCAGTTGGTTGGTTTACCTACCAGTATACAGAGGCTGACCAAGCTTCGATTGCTGGACTTGGATGGAAATAAACTAACTGAACTACCTGCTGAGATTAGTGACCTCAGGGAGCTGAGACAGCTGAGTGTGAGTCAGAATCCTTTAACTGTTGACGCAATAAGACGTGCATTGAAGTTAAGAAAGAAAGGAGTACTTGTAGATGGTGTTGCAGGTAAGCACAGCGCATATTGTAGTTATTTGGAAGTTCGAAAAAAACCGAGATAAAATTCCACTATTTGCCTGGGAAAGGGAAGTCATTTTTTTTTTCAGTTATCGGGGGTTTCGCGAATTTGAGGGTTTGATAAATCATTAAGATATGCTACAAACTGTACTTTCAAAATCAGTGGTAAATTTCTTGTACGTATTAATTCATTTTAATTAATTCGTCTGTTTTAAAGTTTCAAATCAGCTGTGAAAAATAGCTATTATCCAGGGTGCACCAAACATTGTAAGCTATTGTACTCCATCACACCCTTACTAAATGACTCACCGGTTGCGCTTGGAAGTAGTGGGCGAAAGAGAGAACGGGCTCGCGTGTCTCCTTCTCGCGGGCCCATTTTTTCTTGTGCCCACTACTTCCAAGCGCCTGCTATGCAGGCTACACCGTTAGTGTTTTCACGAACTTTCAGAGGGAGAGAAGCGATGACCGGAAATACGTCTGCTGTTCGCAGACTAAAGAAATACGAGCTGACCCCTAAAAACGCCTGCGGGGGTTACCTACGAACGGCAGACGTCCTTCCGGTCGTCGCTTCTTTATTTTTCGGAGGGACAGAAGCGACGACCGGAAATACGTCTGCTGTTCGCAGGCTAGTATTTCTTCGGAGAGGGAAGAAATACGAGCTCCCCTAGAAACGCCTGCGGGGGAGGCTATGTTTTCACTGTGGTCGATTTGCTGCTGAGCGGAACACTTTTTCTGGGTGATTGTTGACATACCGACGATTACTAGCTGTTTTCACTTTTAGATTTAGCTCGGAAGAACTTAGAGGATTCAAATTTAAAAAGCGCGCCACATTAAAAAATGTTAAGAGACGAAGCGCTTTGAATGTGTTTTCGTTTAATGCTTCTCGCTATTTTATGAATGCAGTTGAATAGTGTCTCTAAAGAGTAAGAGGATAGGAAGTAATGTTGTAATCCTGTTTCAAAATGTAACAGCAAAACAGCGGTAATTGCCGTAAGTAGAGTGGGTTTAACCCGCCGTGCCAAATCGATGAAACTCTTTAGTCGAAATAATGGCTTCTATTCGATTTTAAACGATATTAATTAAGCGATTGATATCGGTAATCGATAAATATCGAAGATCGAAAGAGTTGTGAGTATCAATTTTTATCAAATGTCATCAATTTTCATCCATTTTATCGATTGTCAATTGCAATCCTTTAATAATGATTTCAGATACGTTTGCGCTACCACTGGCTACGAATTAGTAATTGAAAGTCTTACCTATTAATTGTCGATGTATTCATCGAGGACAAAAGATTCACCCGTCCTTATTGTAAATGGGCTCTGGTGGTAGCCCTTCACTACAGCCTCTAGTAATATAAAATGTTCATTTCGCCGGTCATTTGGCAGGCGTCTGTCACAACGCGCAACGCGATTCTGATTTATGAGGACAAGCTGCACCATCTCGCGTGGTTGTCTAACTTTTCGTAATTTTTCGGTCATAAAGCCGAAAAAACAGTGAGCATGTTTAACTCGCTAACACAAGACGAGATGTTTTAACTGTATTTCTGGACTTTTCTGGCTTTATCTAGCTAAAATTAACTCAGTGAAAACACAACCGCAGAGTCTTAAAGCCATTTTTCACTTAAATGGATCAAGTAATATTGTCATGTTATAATTGTGGAAGATTGGCCGCTGAACACAATATGTATTAAATAAAAAATTATTGTTACAGAACAATAAGCAGACCATTAAGGATGAAGAGTTTTGAGCTGTTCAAGATTCAAATTAGAAAAGGTGGCTTGGTTTGCTGTGTTTAAGCCTGAGAAAGTACTTCTCGTGATCTAAACAATAAGTGGTCTGAAATTTGCTATACCATTTAACAAAATTATAAGTCACACTTAGCTTCAGTTAGGTTTGTTTTGCAAGTTAGTTTTTGTTGTTTTCCCTGCAGCATGCACGGCCATAGTGTAAGTGAATTGTGTAACCCCCCCCCCCCCCCCCCCCCACATGGACGGCCAGGTGTCTTGCCTTTCACCTGAAACCTGCGCAGCACGTAGCCTTTAGGATCACTAAGGGAACAAAACCTTCCCACCACTTCAAAAGCATAATGCTTGGAGAGGAGAAAACAAACTACAGAATAATTTAAACAAAAGACTTAAATTATTTAGCGGAATGACTCGATTTAGTGCCCAGAGCCCGTATATACTTATGGTTTCTCAAATGAGGGCGCTTATTCGAAACAGGGCGTCTATTTCTTTTATGTTGCGAAGCAAAACTCTCGAACCATGAAACAGGGGCAGGGCATGAGCAAGAATTAGCAAAGGTCTACGATCACGGCTCCTTCTGGCAATCCCTTGATTTGGAGGTCGAAGCTTGTTCCTGAAGGCGAATTCTCGTCTGCTATACGAGGTCATTATGCCTACAAAGCGACATGGTCTCCAACTAAGACTCAAATTCCAAGCTATCAGTGACATTCAACGCTTTAACCTTCCAATCGTTCCGACAAATAATAGCAACACTACCACCGATCGGCGAGCCAGGAAGTGACTAAGATGGGGGTCTGTAATATCGCCACAGTATGGACTATAATGAGGTCGGGGTTTTGAGAGGCCAGCGGCGCATACCCAACAAAAATTAACCCAAGTAACCCCTCCCTCCCTCCCCCCCCCGGGTTGGAACAAGGGTGCTTAGTCAATAGGGGTGCTTAGTAGAAAGTCAGCGCTTATTTTTACGCACCATTCATGGTGTTGTGAACATGCATGGAGACTTGACGTAAGCGCAGTAAAAAAGACAAGTTTAAAATAGCAGGTAGATTGTTTAACAGTATCAAAAATAACCAACATTTAATTTTATCTGTCACATTTGAAATTCAGTAAAATTATGTTTACCATAGATTTGTTTTAATAATAACTTAAGAGACCGTACTGAAAGATTACAAGAAGGGCAATAAATACTAGTATTGGTGTAGCCCCCCATGACCCTCCTAGGTCCGTCAAGTAAAATAGAAGCCAATGAACTACGCAACCTGTAAGACATTACTTACCTTTAATAAGCATCCTTTTTTTCACTAGCTCCTTTAGAAATAGAAGCACGTGGAGAAAAAGCACAGCTCGCTTATCAAAGTGCTCTTAAATATGGAGCTGTTAACGTTTACCGTGGTCGAGTATTGCTTATTGGACAGGATCGAGCAGGAAAAACAAGTTTGAAGAAGTCTCTCATTGGTCTACCATTTAATTCAAAAGAAAAAAGCACTGATGGAATTGAAGTGGATCCTTCAAAATTTCAGTTGGACGTTGGTGAAGTCAGGAATTGGCAATCTATTAATGAGAGAAAACAAGGATTGATGGGATGTTCGAGAGATGTGGCACAGATGGTGGTGGAAAAGATGTATGATATTCCAGTTAGCCGTGCCTGGGTTCAGGAAGAGGAAAGAGGTGAAGCCATTCTTCAAAATGATGATAACAAGAATAGGAAACAGGTTGATACTTATGGAGAAAAGGAGGAAGTTTCTCTTGTGAACCAGGTTTGTCTTTGTTGGTTTTGAAGTGTGATGTTTTTTCGCGAATCCATCCTTACTGCAAGAACGTCCTAACAGTAGTTATTATAAATTGATTATCGCCTTCTTCATAGGTTAGGTTATAGTGACTTCCCTGCCCTTTGCCACGGTCTCTGTATGGAAAATATGTAACAACTGCCAGATCGTTTTCTAGCTCGTTTTCCAATGCTGGTTAAAAATTTAAACCAGCGCTTTTATACTTGTAAGTTTAGTTCCGAGAGTAGAATGATACTACTATCAACCATTTAGTTATGTTTCCATGATTGTACCCATCTACACGTAAGCTGAGCCTTTGGGTTAGTAGTGCGTGTGCAAACCAAAGTGAGTTTAGCCATATCTTTATTCATACTTTTAAGTGTTAATTAGGCCTTGAACATAGCTCTCCCTTCTTTTGTTGTTGTTGTTAATCACAATTTCGTTATTGTTTTCTTTTTTATCCGAGGAGTAAAGCCAAGGGGCTGGCAGGACTCAATCAAACACCATTTTCCTATATGTTCTTAAACTCACTGTTCCTTAAAAAATGCAAGAACGTATTAACGTACGTTTTGGATACCTCATGGCTCCAATAATCGTGCCTCAATGTTTGAGCTTATTAAGAATTTTCTGTCATCAAAAACAACTTTAAATGGGTGAATAATCGAATCGGAGGGTGAAGAGGAGTAATTAGGTGTTCATTATTTCATCATTCCAACTCGAAAATTTTCCTTGTTCCATTATTCCAGAAAAAAAAGAACAAATTATTCCGTTGAAAACATATGCTTATTCCATTATTCCGCGCCAAAGAATCAGAATCAGAATCAACAGTTATTATTTTTTTTCGCACTCTGCTACAGGTTGGTGATCCAAACGAAGACGGTGTTAGTGAACTCACATTAACAGAACCTGATCATGAGTTAGTGGTTGATACTACTTCACCTCCAGAGGAGATCAAGGATCGAGCTGTAAATTTGATAAAGTATATGAAAGGTGATAATGTTAAGCCGGAAGAATCTGTTGTCAGTATTGAACTTTGGGATTTTGCTGGACAACACCTGTATTATGCATCCCATCCTGTATTTTTATCATCACGTGCGCTGTATATCCTGGTGTGCAACCTCAGCAAGTCACTGCATGACACAGCCAAGCCCTGTGTGAGGCAAGGGTCTCGTAATGTTGATTTGGAAAACCCAAATGGAGAAACAAATCTTGAGAACTTGTTGTCTTGGCTGTCCACAGTGCATAGTGTCGCACAAATGAGAAGAGAAACCTGTGATGACGTAGAAAAAGAGGTGCCTCATTTGCGCCCCCCAGTGATCATTGTAGGAACCCATGCAGACAAACCATTTGAAGACATTGCAACAATGAAAACAGAAATCCAGAACGCAATTGCTGGTAAGGACTATGAAGGACATGTGGTGCGGACTATCTTTAGCATTGACAACACTGCGAAGTTACTTCAAAATAAGATCAGAAATGTTTTTAGGAAAGATGAAAACATTGATGACATCCGAGCTCTACGGGTCAAAATCATGGAAGTGCTAAGACAGGAGCCTTACATTGGGGAGAAGATACCTGTGAGGTAAATAACGTTTATACAAGAACACAATCCATTAACATTAATAATAATTTCATCAGTAACTCATTGACTCTGACGGTTTACTAAAGCGTGACCACAAACAGGGTGTTACGAAAACTAAGACCCTCGAAAACTAGGGCCTAAAACACTTAAAAGACCCGTCTTAGTTTTCGAGATTATACGAAAACTTAGACGCCCTAAAATCGAATCCGTCGAAGTATAAAATTAAGTTAAAACCGAAGTTGAGGTATAATCTGTCAAATTATCTTCTGTTCGATCCTTTCCACGTAGTTTTAGGTGAAATTCAGTCGAACCTGAATTACATGGTTTCCCTTATGTTAATCAACCAGATACTGTTCATTTCTTATGACTGCTAGGAAATTACAGTTTTTCCCCCTGAGTGACGGGCTAGAATTCACCAGCCTCTAGGCCTTAAGCGGATGTTTTGGCCGGGTGTTAGGAAAACTAAGACCCTCGAAATCTGAGACCTAAGACCCCATATGTATTCATATGAATTTATATGTCTACAGATTAGAAGAAGCGGATCGAGTGGATGATAGTTTTCAGTAGTTTTACAGAATATAGTCTTTGAACGGTCGTAATCCGACTTCATATATATTTTACGGATTAGTTTTGTGGGGTCTTTCGTATCTTTATGAAACCTTTTTTTGAGTATAACACTCCGAGGGATACAATCAGAATGAAATAAAATTGATTAAGCTATTCTTAAATGCTGTAATAAAATTTCGGTCATTCCAAAGTAATTCAATCAATCAATGTGTTCTATTTTCAAAACTAAGTGTTAATTGTTCAATTCTATAATCTCGGTTAATCAGCTCATAACTCGATATGACAGGGTCCTTGTTTTTTTAATTAACGAAACTACGAAATCTCAGACCCCTACATCTCTCGCTAAATTTCACCTAAACCTCCATGGAAAGGATCGGACAGAATATAATTTCAGTAATTTGACAGATCATACCTATCTTTAGTTATAATTTGACTTCACACTTCGACGGAATCAATTTTAGGGAGTCTTCGTAATCTCGAAAACTAAGGCGAGTATTAGGTCTTTGGTCTCAGTTTTCCTAACACCCGGCCAAAACATCCGCTTAAGGCCTAGAGGCCAGTTAATTGTAGTCTCTCACTCAGGTGGAAAAAAATATCATTTCCTGACAGTCATTAGACTGTTCACAGTCCCCTATTTTTCCGTAAGACCGTCGAGAGTTGAGGGCGGCTATATAAGATAAGTGTCAAATCTACTTAGGAGGCGGGGAACGGAGGTATAATCTCCGATGCTCCCCCCCTCGGCTCGGTACATTTGAAAATCAAGATGGCCGCCATTAACGGTAAGATGCGCTATATCTCGACGATCTCACGGAAAAATAGGGGACTGTGAGCAGTCTAGGCAGTAATAAGAAATGAATTTGTGCCATGATTAAAATAAGTTAACTATGTAATGCAGGTTTGACTGGCCTGAAGAAATATTCTGCCCTAGAGTGTTTGACAGAAAAAAATTTTTTGTCATTTAGCTTTTAGGAATCATCCTCGGAGACCCAGGGGCAGATAAAGGGGAGGAGGGAAAGTCTAAACGGGCGGAAAAATATATATGGAACGAAGAAAAGTAAAGAACGGCGAGAAGAGCCCCTGGGGACAATGTCTTACCAGACCAGTTCCAAACGGTCGCCGCCGTTCTGGCTTCTGATTGGTGCCAGAAAAACACAAGTTTTCTGGCACCAATCAGAAGCCAGAACGGCTTCTTTTCTTCGTGCCACATTTTTCCGCCCGTTTAGACTTTCCCTCGCTCCCACTATCTGCCCCTGGGTCTCCGAGGGTGTTTAGGAATTAGCCGAAAAGCACTGTGTGGATTTCATTGTCGTTCAAAAATTTTTAAAAGTGTAGTAAACTTCATACTCATGATGTGGTTTTCCAGAACATCCATGATTACTTAGCATTCGAAACATCAATCAAACCAGGTATGCTTTGTTTTTGTGCGTCACAGACCTGGTCTCATCTGATTTGTGGTCGCAGATTACAAATGCTTTGGACCGATATTTATTGGAATCGTGTTTGTGCGAAGGTTTATAAGATCAGAGTCTTCTAAGTATAATTGGAGATGGAGCAGTGGAGACTAGGGAAGGCCAATTTATTGAGAATGACGGCGTGCGGATCTGACTGGAAAAAATGGACTGTTTGTTGGAGATAACATCAACATAAATCAGAACATCGGTACTCGACACTAGCTAAAGCCGCCATGGACAAGCGATTTGTCAGCTTTTTGAAATGAAAAGATTCTTTTTGTTTATTGGAAGTTTAGCGGCATGTATTGTAGAGAACGTTTCGACACAGGCTGAAGAGCAGCCGCTCTGCAAAATTTATACCAGGCGGAGTGAATTGTTCCGGACAAATCATTTTTTGACGTGTTGACAAGGTTTCAGACGAGATAAAGCCACACAATAAAAAACAAGAAATTCCGCAGCAATCACTCATAGTTTTAACTTTCTTTTATCGTAAATCTTTTTTATTACAGTTCTTGCAATCGCCTGCAACGTGTTCTATTAGAGAACAAAGTAATTTTACAAAAAGTCTGGTAATCCAGGGGTAATCTGTTCGTTATGTTTCTATTTTGACGAGCTGTCAATTTACAAATGAACCGAACCGTGAAATATCAAGGGGCGTTTTCCAGAATCGTGGGGTTTGTGGGCAAGCGTTTTCCTCTTCTCCCCTCCCCCTCCCCCTTCAACCTTTTTTTTGCTTCTGCTCTAACTTTCGCGTAAAAACTCGACTGGAAACGCTTGCTACGCAGGCTACGACATTTTTGAACTGTCTTGAAGGCTTTCCCTTACGCATTTGAGATCGCCTGTTATGAATAAAAGGGAGATTTGAGCCCTATAATGCTTCAGGAAATATTTTACGACAGTTTGAAAATTTCCAAATTTTCAGGAGTTTATATGGAAAACCACTCAAACGTGACTGGGTTGGAAGAGTTGTTTTTCCCTTCTAATTTTCGGCGGCCGTTACGATCGCTACTTTTGAGATATATGGCTGGAAATTGACAGGTTACCTAATCTTAATATGCTCTTTCAGTTCTTGCTAACAATTTTTGAAAAAGCGAACTGTCTTCGTGCATACAGAAAGTTGACCACGATCAACTAATGCAAAAGGCCTATTAACCCTGAAAAGTCCCAATAGTGACCAACATCAATTTTCTCCTAACGATATCCATACAATTTCAGGAGATCAGGTTATGAGAATTAATAAAATGATCGCCTGAGAGAAAATGCTTTGATCTTTTATCAGATTCTCTCAACTCATTCCTTAAGAAAATGTATAGAGATCAGTTTGGAGAATTAATACGTGTATATTGGGGCTTAAAGGGTTAAACCAGTTGTTTTAGGTCAGCTTATTTAAGCTTATATTTATCGCATTTTTACCTTAGAAAGACCATAAAAACTAACTAATGAAAAATCTTTAACTTTGCACATGACTGCTAAACAAAATCCCAACGTCTTAGCAACTTTCGCAGCAATTTTAGTCGCCATTTTTTTTGCTATGGCGACCAAAATGGTCACAGCTGGGATCGCTGTTGTTTAGTGATGTTTAACGTCATGTTTTGAAATGTGTGCTCTCTACTGTAGTCTGTTCTGTAGTCATTATACTGTGCAGTGACATGGATACTACTACTTTATGAACTAGATGGCTGAACTTTGAGAAGGTCATCAACGCTTTACTTTCCAAGCCAGTTTATTACCTGAGTATAACGAAGCTACGGACCCATGCCAAGGAGAAGTGCTTCATCGATGACCATGAAGAGTTTACCACCATGGTGAATTTCTATCATGACCTGGGGATAATTATCAAGCACCGTCGCACAGTTATCTTGAGTGCCAAGTGGCTGATAGACTTGTTCGGGCAGCTGATCACTATTCCAGATTTTGAGAAAATTGTAAGATATACATTATAAACTTGTTTTTAAACTATGGCAATGGTTGCAGAAGTATTTCCGGTCGTCGCTTCTCTCCATATTCTAGCTGCAGAGAAGCGACGACCAAAAATACGCCTTAATTTGTAGGCTATATCTATTGGTACATATGTGACCGCTGAAATCATGGGTTCAACAAAATCCCATTCATAATGAGGACGTACGTGTCATCTGAACAATAGTAACAATCTACCTTTAAAGGTGTGCAATGGAAGTAAGTAATGGTAACTGTGAAATCAATAAAGATTGTCTCCCCAATGCTTCCCCTGTCACACCCGTCTTTATACCGCATCACTTGGTGCCCATAAGAGCTGCTCATAAGCAATTTACCTTTAATTGTCGTGATATGTAGTCTTAAAGGAACGTCTCAAAACAAAACAGAGTGGAAAGATACATACACGTCTGCTGAAACCAGCAACTCTTTATGTCGACCAATCAGAACGCACTTTGAAATTTGGCCCGTAAGAAGTTTCCGCTGAGTAAACCAAATGGAGGATGGTGACATTTACGTGGCGCTTTAACGAGCATTCTAAAGATTTAAAATCTGAGGTCTGCTTGGAAGGCTATGATCTTTTTTCGCCCCCGGAAAGATTTATTAAGTTATGCTTTCTAGGCAGTCTTTCGTAACTTCATTTTTATATGCGTCCTCTCACAAATCCGCAAATTGCAAGAAGAAACTTTTTTCTCGAATGCTTATTTAAAATGTTTTAAAAATACAGTCTAGCCTCTCCTTACGGACACCTCTCCATTATGGACAGTTCGTTTGGTCCCAGAAATGCCAAAAATCTTACATTCCCTGCCACTATAATCTGGACACCTCTGTAAAGCGGACACTTGGTTCTGTCCCTTTGGTGTCCGTATTAAAGAGGTTTGAACGTAACTTGTTTCTTTTAGTAGACTTACTAATAAATAATTAGTGTAATAATTTAGTAGTGTAAAATGGTCCTACAAGAAAGTTATTTTGAAAAGTTTTGTGATCATTCCTCGTGTTCTTCCGTCTTAGGTCCCTAAGTTTGCAAAGCTCTGGAAGGAAGTCGAAAAAAGCGGTGTTCTCAGCATGGAACTGCTTGATCATGTGTTTTCCAAATTTCTTCTGAAGGGCGTCGCCAGGAAAGACATTCTGGATTTGATGGAACAATTTGCTTTGATTGCTAAATTTTCATCTTCAAAGACAGGAGAAAAATACTTTGTTCCATCTCAACTCAAAGCGTCACCTGATTCTCTCTGTTCCATGACACCCACAACCCTCGACCCTTGTCCCCTGTTTGTTTACTTCGTCAGCGGTTCTGTTCCCCATGGTCTGTTCACTCGGCTTGTTTCTCGATCTGTCCGTTGGTGTTCTGATGCTGGTCCAACTCAGCCCCCTACCCTGTACCAAAATGGAGCGTGGTTTGTTATTGGGAAGCAAACTGTCCATGATTTTGTTCTTATTTGTAAGAAGCAGTTTATTAAGTTTTTTATCAAGCGAAGAAACCAACCTCAGCAGATCTCAGTAGATGACACAAGTGAGGTGGCGGTGCAGGTTCGTGAGTTTGTGGAGGCAACATTGCAAGCTTTGTCACGTGATCTCTATAAAGGTGGATTGCAGTATCATATTCGGGTCGCCTGTCCGTATTGTCTGCGGGAACAGTGTCCAAGACATAATCAGATTGCATGTTCTCATGAAGATTGTCTTCACCTCCTTGAAGTGAGACATGGCGATCCTCTGATTTGCAAGGAGAAACCTGTAGAGGAGGTGCTCACAGTTACGGGACACCAAAAGTGGTTTTCACAGATATCAACAAAGGTAGGTAGCGGTGACATGTGATCTCTAGCAGTGCTGTTAGGATATATCAAGCGAATACACATACTACTAAAACTTATGTCCTTAAAAGGTAGCCATATATTTAAACTAAAAAGGCTTCAACAAAATCTATGCATGCGCTTTGTTAGGTTATAGTATGATGTACAACGTATGCCTTCATTTATCCTACCACGAGCTTCTCTTCAGTGTAAGAGAAGGCTTTGTTGCTGTCAACTTAGCGAACATTGGTACTTAATATCAAGTAAGTTGATAAGGTCAATTGGCTACCATGTATTACTAATTGTTATTGACCTTTAGACATAGCAGTCGGCATATAACTTTTTCTCAAGTCTTTTTGAATGTGCTGTTTTGCTTTGCTGTTGAGCAATAAGTTTATAGCATCTAACGTGTTAACATGTTTTGCAAACTTTCATTCAAAAAGGTAGAACTCCCCAGAGGTAAAAATTTTTATTTTAAAGTGTGCGGTTTTGGTTGCTATACAGGAAGCATGTACTCCATCATCATCACCTGATACTGCACAAGCTCGTCCAGATTGTCTGCTACTGAAAGTTACCCTTCTCGCGAATGAGTGGAGGTCGTCCAAGGGTGGCTTGTCAACAATAAACAGAACTCTTGCCATACATTTGGCAAAAGACGCAAACGTAGAAGTGACCATTCTTGTACCTGAATTTGAGTGTGGCGAAGAGGACAAGAGAGCTGCCAAAAGTCACAACATTTCCATCCGGGAAGCAGAGCGCCTTCCTGCCTACAATGATCCTCTTGATTGGTTGAGTTTTCCACCAGAAGACCTTGACATTCAGGTTGTGATCGGCCATGGAGCAAAGCTTGGTAGACAAGCACAGATTATAAGAAAGTCTCATCGCTGTAAGTGGGTGCAGGTTGTTCACACTGAGCCTGAAGAGCTGGCGATGCATAAGAACTATCCAAGCGCCATTGCCAAGGGAGAAGGGAAGAATAGAGCTGAAGTTGAACTTTGTCAAATTGCAGATCTCATCATAGCCGTTGGATCCAAGTTGAAAGACGCGATCTCGTCCCAGTTGCGTTCATCTCGTCGAGAAATCTTTCAATTAACACCAGGTTCCTTCACAGAGTTTTCAGATGTTGAACATTCTAAACAAGAGAATGTAAATTTCAAAGTGTTAACCTTCGGTCGCGGTGATTTTGAAGACTTTAGTCTTAAAGGATACGACATTGCCTCTCAATCCATAGTTGAATTGAAGGACAGTTCCTATAGTCTTGTTTTCGTTGGTGCATCCGATGGAAGGCAGGATGACGTCGCAGAAATCTTACTCCAGACTGGCATTTCAAAGAACCAGCTGATTGTGAGATCATTTGTGAAAGACAAACATAGACTGAGAGAATTGTTTTTTGAAGTCGATCTGGCCATTTTGCCATCAAGAACTGAGGGGTTTGGTTTAACAGCATTGGAAGCCATGTCAGCTGGTCTTCCCATTTTGGTAAGTGGAAACTCTGGATTTGGTAAAGCACTGCGTTGTCTTCCAATGGGCGAGGCATATGTGATCGACTCTGATGACCCGAAGGAATGGGCAAAGGCAATTGCAGCCATCCGTCAAAAATCAAGGACACAGCGGCTTGAAGAAATCCAAAGACTGCGAAGAAGTTATGATGAAAGATTCTCTTGGGACAGACAGTGCCAGGCCCTTGTTGACAGGATGTGGAAGATGGTCTATGGTAAGAAATCAAATTTACCGATAGAAAAGTAACGATAATAATAATAATTAGTACTTGATGATTTTCAAATGCGTATCTTTTCAGGATTATCCTCCATTTGACCTTCAGGATTCATCGTTGTATGTCCATTGCTTCTGCAATAGCGAATGCATAAATACATGTTGACTATATCATGTTTCTTGGTCCATGTGCATCCCTGCAGAAATATTGGCGTTAACCTTTTTAACCTTAATGGTGGCATTCACATTCTCCACACTGTTCTTCATACATTTCTTGTGTTACTGATGAGGAGAATTTGTTTAACAATCAAGATCTTTTTTTCCGGCTGATCAATTCCATTTTTTAAAACTTTTATGTATAATTTTATAACATATTGGCTACAATTGAAAGAGTTAACGATAAATTCAAATTTTAAATCTATAAGATTGCGATACATCAAAGTCATCTGATTTCTATTCATATCCAGCAGAAATGGTGGGTCGTCACAAAATGAAGGTTGGAATCGTTCATTTTTTTAAGAGTGACATATATTTTTGTAAATCATCGTTTTTTTTAACTTTACAGATCTTGAAAAAACCAAAGAAGTTGACGTTCCACAGAACGACTGTGAAAAAGATGCTGTAACAGGACCGATAGCAGGTAATTTCATTGTTTGCTTTGTCAATTAAACCAAAGACAATTTATTTTTGCAGTAGAGTGAGGTTATTTTCTTCTGTTGAACCAGGATACTTTCGATTTTTCGGGTGCTTTTAGCTTTTCAATGCTTAGTGTAGCATCTCCAAGTAAACTGAGGTAAAATAACTGTTTCCCTCTCCCGCTTTCAGGCCAAACCATTTAAATTTACTGCTAATTTTAAATTTTTACAGTTTGTGCACTGTAATTTTCAGGGAGTTATAATAACTCCTCTAGTGGGGCTAATTTAACTCCTTACAGTGGAGTTGTTTTTCGTGGAGCTATTTTAACTCCAAAAAGGAGTTTAAAGAACTCTTTTCAGGAGTAAAAGTGACCCCAGATATTGAGGAGTTAAAATAACCCCAAAAAAGGAGTTATCCTGTACCTAAAATTTTTACTCCACTTTCAGAGTTAAATTAACTCCAAAAAGAGTAAAAACAACTCCTGTAAGGAGTACAAGTAACCCCATTTCGGAGTAATTTTAACTCCAAGACTGGGAGTAAAAAGAACTCTTTTTCAGGAGTAAAAATGACCCCAAATTCGGAGTTAAATTAGGAGTTAAAATAACCCCAAAAAAGGGGTTATCCTGTACCTAAAATTTTTACTCCATTTTTGGAGTTATAATAACTCCCTAAAAATTACGGTGTGAAAAAAGCCGAGAAGATGACGTTCCAAAGAATGACTTTGAGAAAGATGCTGCAACAGGACCGATGACAGGTGATGTCATTGCTTGCTTTGCGAATTAAGCCAAAGCCAAAATTAGTTTTGCGGTAGAGTGAGGTTACTTTTTCCTTTTAAAACCACAGTAATTTTTCTGAAATTGTCGACTGTTTTAAGCTTCAGATCAGTGCACTGTGCTGCACCTGTTTATGGAACTCGCTGCCATTAACTGTAAGAACAAGTAGCAGCCTCGCCATTTTTAAAAAGCATCTTAAAACATTTCTTTTTCAGGAAGCTCATAATTTACTAGAACAACTTTGAAGTTTAATGCTTTGAATATCTTAATTTCAATTTTGTATAGAATTTTAGACTTTTATTTTTTAGATTTTCGCATAGCATGGAATTTTTTATTATTATTATTATTATTGTTATTATTAGCTTTTCAGGAACTTTTTTAATTCTAACTTAATGTTAAGCACTTTTGAATATTTTATAGTTCTAGCGCAATACAAATTCTTTATCATTATCATTATCACCATCTCCTATTAAACTGGTGTGAAATAACCTCTATCTTATTTTGACTTTTTCATCTTCCGCTTACAGGTGAACCCATTTTCCTTGCACTTCAACAAATCTTGTTGGAAGCACGCATAGATTCCAGCAAAACTAAGCTGTCGCAGACTTTAAAGACCACTGCGTTGGAAAAAGGTTTTGCGATTTCTGACAATCAAGGAGAGGGAAACTGCATGTTTTTTGCACTATCAGAGCAGCTTGTCCTCATCAAAGGAATTCAAATCTCCCATGATGAGTTACGCCGAACTATTGTTCAACACCTTCGGGAAAACCCTAAGCTGGTAAGTGGCTTACTCTTTACACATTTACAGTATACGCGCATAGCCGTCGCATTTCGCTACATTTTTAAATTTTTTAAAGTTAAGAACAATAAGGCCCTGTCCACACGTATCCGAAATACGTGTCCACACGAAGCGTATTTGAATCTTTTTCGCCCGTCCACATAAAAATGCTAAAATGACTGAAATACGATAGCATCCCTTTACAGAGCATGCGCAATGTTGTGTTCTAAATCCTCTGTATTCGTCCATTCACACGTCGTTTTCCAAAATCTCTACACTTGGGACCTTTTATGAAAACCTGCGTTTTTGGTGCCCGAAAATGCCGATCACGTGTGGACAGAAGGCTAAAATGGACAAATAAATCTCAGATATAAAAAGTATATCCGGATACGTGTTCACGGGGTCTTAAATTCCTGCGGTTAAATGCGATAGCTGTGCGGGTATGCTGCAAATGAATGCACCCTTTATGAGCAAAACAACAGCTCTACACGAGCATCACGCTTGTTTGTACTTGCTTCTTCGTCCACTGCACGACTACAAAGCAAAACTTCCTAAGGCGACGTTTTGTGGAGGGTACCGAACACCCGACGGTGAATTATTGTTTTCGGGCTTGGATACAGTCATTAAAAGCTCAAATATAAGAAAATCCGTCGACTTATGTTAAATTAAGCAAGGCTAAATAAGCGCGATAAAGTTTGAGAGAACGCACATTCTTTTCCCAAGTTACTTTTTGTGTCGGAGGCATAAATGGATACGGAGAAATTTTTTATCTGTTTTTGTCGGCTCGATCGTCATGCTCATGTCCTATTTTATTTTTTAACTGTATGGTATGTTGCTAAACGTGAAATGTCGACCAACACCAGTTTTGCGTGAACAGGATATGACTACATACTGGTTTAAAAGTCGCAATTTTCAAACTCACATTATTTCTACAGTAAACATCCCTTCCTCCTCCCCTCTCTCTCTCTTACACGTGTAACGGACACCTCCCTACAACTTCCTAAACCTACTCCAGCTCCCTAAAAGTGTTGGTCCTTGTTTTTTGACATTTTTAAGGAGAGTAGTATAGGTCACACAGGTTAGACCGCTTTTTGTAGTCGAATCCTATTACTGTGATGACATGACATCTTTATCTCAGCAATATATAAAATGCGGTGGAATCTCTTCAAGATAACGTCACGAGCTATTTTTATGTAGTATTTAGTATATCCAATTATTCTTATATCGATAATGTAACTTGTTGGGATCTTGTCCTTATTTTGTGAGAATGATGTCGTAGATCATTCTAAATTATGTGCGTCATGTTTTAATTTGGTCATGAAGACACCTCTGAACCATGACGCCTTCATTGTCCATTGCAGACAACTTAATCTGTGTTCACACTATACCGTATAGTTTTTTGGCGGGCACGAGAATCATACCGGATGGGGTTTCAGTTCACACACAAGAACGGTGATTTCGGCGCGATTTCTGTTAAACGGAGAGAAGCTGTGCCGCGCCGATCTCTTAAGTGGAGAGTCACATATCGGATAGATGTTCACACTATACTGGATGGCTTTTCGTGTCGTCACCAAAGCTTATCTGGTATAGTATGATCATAGCTTTATTGTTCTGGTTCCGGTTCACTGATGCTTGGTGCGCAAAGGAGATAAAGACGTCATCGACGTTTATATATTTCACTTTAAGAAAGACGTCTGGCTCGTCCTATACTACTAAGGTGAAGAAATCTCTCCTTTAATACTTGAATAGGGATACTCCTAAAACAGTTTACACTATACTAGTGCTGATACCAGCGGGGTCAGCCTTAGAGAGAACAGACAGCGCGGCTGTCTAAATAAAATACCTTCTACAAAAGCACTCTACCTTTTTCTCTATTAACTACAGTATTTTCTTTCTTTCTTACAGCCGGATGGGACAGAACTGTTTCATTTTGTTGATGGATATCCATCTTGGGATGCCTACCTCACAAGTATGATGGCAGATGGTACATGGGGTGACCAGGTGATTCTACACGGCGCGGCAAACTGTTTTCAAACGTGCATCCACGTGATCAGCAGTCTGCGGCATCGCCATGACGTAATGATCTGCCCAGAGTATGATGTTGCTGGTCGCAACCGGCTTGTGCTGGGTCACCTGCACGAGCTTCACTATGTTAGCCTTATTCCACATAAAGGAGGTAAAGATGTCTGA